TTAGATCCAGTGGACTCTGCGATGCTGTCTGGACTTTGCTGTCTCTGAACAGTATGTGCATGTTGCTTTAAACTTTTTTTTTTTTTTTTTTTTTTGAGAAGAAGACTGCGTGACTTTCCTCTGTAACAGAGGTAATATATGAGACAATCAACACCATTCCAAAGGCCTGAAAATAATTTTCAGATAAAGAGACTCCAAGGTTGACTTTAGTTTGTGAGTTACTCATGTGACTATTTGAGGATTTTGAAAACATCAGATTTGCTGTGGTATGGGAAAAAGGATATGTACTTATTATTTTAGATCTTTCTGTAGTATTTACATTTTTTACTATGTGTACATTTGTACTTCTATTTGACACATAAGGGAAAAAATAAGAGGAGAACACTTTGAGCAGTTGCCTGGAAGGCTGGGTATTTCCAGCATATAGACCTCTGCCCTTCAGAGTAGTCTCACCATTAGTGGTAGCATCAAGTAACTGAGTGGACTGTGCTTGTCAACACATGTGTAGCTTTTCAGAAACTTAATTGGGGATGAATAGAAAATCTGTAAGCTTTGATGTTCTGGTTCCTTCTAGTAAATTCCTGTCAAAATCAATTCAGAAATTCTAACTTGTAGAATTTAACATTTTACTCTTGTAAATCATAGAAGATGTATCTTATCAGTTCAGGATTTTAAAGTACCGTTTTGATGCTTTTACAGGTATTTTCGTAGTGTCTTTGTAGAGAGATAATAAAAATCAAAATAATTATTTAATGAAAATGGACTTACTGTTATAGCATAGAGATTATACTATACTTTTTGTACGTTAACAATAAGTTCTTTGTTTGCAAACAACCACAATTTAAACAAGATAATTAAGGGAGGTGGTTTTGCTTCTGATGGAGTAGAGTATGACCAGATGAAAACCTTGCCCTTCTGTTGTAACTGAAAGCAACTTAAAAGATTTCCAGAGACATGGGAAGTGTCGCCCAAAGATATGAGATCTGTATGTGGTGAAAATGATTAGTGAGGGCAGACTACTAACAATGATGTGTCAGTCAACTGAGGTCAGAGACAGATTAAAGAGATGCACAAAGTTCTATTGTTTAATACTTTTTTTTTTTTCCTGAGACGGAGTCTCTTTCTGTCGCCCAGGCTGGAGTGCAATAGCACGATCTCAGCTCACTGTAACCTCCGCCTCTTGGGTTCAAATGATTCTCCTGTCTCAGCCTCCCTAGTAGCTGGT